GTGGTTCTTGCCGAGCAAGTGGCTAATATTTTGCATGAATTCAACAGTGTGAGCACTATCAAGGCTATCCTTGTTGACAAACACTAATGCAAATTCAGGCTGTGAAGGTGGATTTGCGGCAAATCTAGAAAGAAAACTTAACAGAAATCTTCACACTACTTGTTGCCCCTTGCACCAAAAAAAACTTCCGTTTAAAGCTCTTTTTAAACATGTAGATGGTACCACAAAAAAAAAACCCTGCCACATTCACTGGTCCACTTGGAACATTACGTGCAAATGATTACCATAATTTACCCCAAATATCATTTTCAGCCGTTGGCAGTCCTCTGGATTCTATTTCTAAAATTAAAAATGCAGATACCCTTAGTTGTGACCAAAGATTCCTTTATGAATATACAATGGGTATTTCTAGAGGTAAGGTGGAATTTAGATTTGCATCATGGAAAATTGGTCCATTAAACCAGGCAAGGTGGTTAACTTTAGGCATCAGTCTGATGTGTTTATGGACTCATGGTGCATACCCACGAAATATTTCAACCAAACTCCACAGTTCAATAAATTTTATTGTGGATGTGTATGCCATTTTCTGCTTCGAAAATAAAAGAAATAACAAGTTCCACAATCAGCAAATGTATATTTTCAATATGATCGAAAGGATTAGGAAGCAACCATATGAAATCCAACGGATCACATTGAAAAATATACAATACAATTCTTTCGCCTTACTGCCTGAAAATATCTTATATTCAATGGTCAAATCCGATGAACTGGAAGTGAGGGAAGAATCTATAAAAAGAATTTTGGCCACTAGGTTAGTAAATATTTATTCATATAAAACTGACTAAATTAATTATACCGATTTATGGAATCATTTTAAGGAATTTATCTAATTTCAACATAAATATTAAAGCAGTACAGAGTGCAATTTTTTTTAAATAAATCAAATTAATTTTTATATTCTTTCAAGAGTGGGGAGCAGACCAAGAAAAGATTAAAAAGAATCACAACTATCAACTTCAAAGCTATGTACTGGAGACAGTTAAAAGATCTGTCATTAAGTGGAGTTTGTGAACCACCACTCACAAGAATTTTCTGAAAGTGAACTTTGGGAATAATTATTAAATTGTACGAAGCTTGACTTGCTGGATTTGCCCTCGCATTCTCAAGACGTGGAACGGGCAGTCAAGTTAACAACAGAAGCTTCCCAATCTGTGTATAGCTTTGAAGCAAGGCACCAGCAGATAATATCAAAAGCTTTGTGTCAGAAATTGAGACCATCAATTAAATCTGAGGGCTCTTATATGGAGTTATTTGACTCTATATATTAAGGTCTATTAAACTGTTCTTTATTTTTCCATATTTTCCATATTTGTTTGATTGTTGTATTTTCATACAAAACAGAAAAAAAATCAATTTTTTAATGTATTCAACTAATACTGCTTAATTCATGAGGTAAAAAACAGCATTTCAAAGTCGTCAGTGATTATAGGGGGTGCACATTTTCAATTTGAAGTTTACTTATAATTTCTACATTTTATTTCATTTTGATAAAACAAAATAACAACATTCCCTGATTTAAAATATGAAATTGTTTGTTTTTTTTAACAATATCTAGTCCAAATCTTGCAAAATCGTGGATTTTTCAGTGCATTTTGTCTACGATCTTTGATGACAAATGCTCAAAAAAACCGTTGAAGTGTCAGATCTAATTTTTTGTATCAATACTTGATAGGTCTATACACAACTTTCGCTACATTATTCTTTTTGATATTTTAAAAAAATTGAAAAATCAACCTGCCCTAATATATATATATATATATATATATATATATAGTGAGGGAGAGAGAGTGTGTAGAGAGAAAGAGAAACAGAGTGAATAAACAGAGAGTATATGGAAAGAGAGAGTGGAAACAAAAAGAGAGGAATATAGAAAAAGGAAAAATAATCTCTTCGATATTTTGTGTTGAATCCATGCTGACATCTGGACAATATCACTTTGCGTTGACACTGAACGCTTTAAGAATTATTCTGTGTAATTCCTTCCTACCACCCCTTTCGCCTTGTTTTTTCCTGTCCCATTTTAACCCTTTTCATACACCCCTCTCCGCTTTCCCATCTCTCCCTTCTATCTCTCGTCCTTTTACTACTTCTGCCTCTTTTTATACTCTCCCCTCTCTCCCTCTCTCATTCTGTCAAACTTTCTTTTCACTCTTTATTACCTATCCTCCTCTCGACATCTCTCCTTCTCAAATCTTTTCCACCCACTCTGTTATTCATCTCTCTCTCCTTATATCTCAAAAACCGGTCCCTCTCCCCTATCTGTCTTTTTCATCCTTCTCATCTCTCTCGTCACACTTTTAGTCTCTTTCAGCTTACCTCTCTTTCACGCCTTCTTTCTCCCTCTCCCGCTCTATCTCTATTCTTTCCTCGTATCTCCCTCAGCCCCCCTCTCATATTCTTTTCTTTTCTCCTCAGCCTGTCCCTCTCCCTTACACCATAACTTTATTCAGTAATTTCATACCCATCCGGCTATGAAATTTAATTTAGTTCTGTTTTTCTTTCCATTTGAAAGCATGTTTCAGTCGTCTAAAAGAGCCCTTTTTTTTGTGTTCCATCAACATGGTTGTTGTTAACCTCCAAGAGAGTAACTCACTTCGCCTCCTGACGTTTTTCAATGATAGGAATGAGAATGATAATATCGTACCTATTGCTTAGTCTACTGCTAGAAAATTTGGTTCACTGTGTCGTGCTAGGTAAATCTTATCGCCAGAATCTACGTTGCATCTTTATGGATAGGTACCTCTAAAAATACAGATACCTGAGTTTTAAAATACATTTAAAGAATGAAAAATCTTCGTGAAGTTTTATTTTTGTTTTAATCCCAAGCTAAACCCGGATATAAGAGACTTCTTCTCCGGTCCCGACAACTCTCTTATATCCGGGTTACACTGTAGATCAAATATATTTCCAATCAGCAATATACTTTGCTGCATTTCAAACCGAATTTAAATTGATTAGAATTATTTTTAAAAAAAACTGTTAAAATCGGCCGTATTGGCACACGTATCAACACAGCTCTTCATTAAAAATATTGAAAAAATAAAATACAGTGTGACCCGGATATAAGAAAGTTGTCGGGACCGGAGATGAAGTCTCTTATATCCGGGTTTCTCTTATATCCGGGTTTGGTCTATTTTATATACATTAACACAGGCTCTAATTTGGGACCAGAGAAAATCTCTCTTATATCCGGGTTTCTCTTATATCCGGGTTTCTCTTATATCCGGCTCTCTTATATCCGGGTTTCTCTTATATCCGGGTCTCTTATATCCGGGTTTCTATTATATCCGGGTCTCTTATATCCGGGTTTCTCTTATATCCGGGTCTCTTATATCCGGGTTACACTGTATACTTTTCTGAAACTTCATTTGAGGAAGTTTAACTGATTTAAACTTTAAGTCATCTGAATAAAAACAAATATTACTTAAATTTAGTTTAAAATATCACAAAAAGCATTTTTTAACATGGATGTGGGTGTTTTTATGTGGTATTGACAGATTTATCGATAGATTAATATTTGGCATTTTAAAGAAAAGAGCATATAGCTATAAAAATTACAAGACGAATACAACCCGAACGACTTATATATATATATATATATATATATATATATATATATATATATAGACTTTCCCTGACGATCCGTTTAGGTGAAACCTAGGTAGGTTTGTTTGGCTCACTAGCTTTATCTATATATAACTATATATATCTATATCTATATCTATATCTATATCTATATATATATATATATAAATATATATTAACTACCCAGTAATTTTCAAAATTTAGGAAAATAGTCTTAGTAATCTAATATTTTCTTGAATTTTAGTTACTTTGGTTTGATATTGTTACTAACGAAGACGCTTGTTGGGGAAATGCGAGGAAATTACCAATAAATTTTAATATTACTATAGTTACTGCTCTAATTTTTTGATAATGTCGTGTATGGATGTTCGTATTTATAAAATCCCAACGTCTATACACATTAAAAATTAAAATACTTTTTAAAATACTGAATAGTAGTAAGCTTTTCTATTTATGATTAGTAAATTTAGTTTTTACTTAATATCACCTAACACTGTTTCAAAGTAATACAAATGATTTAAAACTTTATAAATTATTGTAATTAAAATTAAAAACGTGAGAAGTTTTTGTAAAAATTTATTATTCATTGTAAAAATTTTCTTAAGAAAATAGTGTCCATAATATATCTTATTCATAAAATCAATTGAAAACTGATTTATTTTAAAATTTAGAGCAGATTTTATGTAAATGGACATTTTGTCTGCCAAAAAAAATTATTTAAATTCTCCAAGGACTTGTTTTTATAACTAAATTTTAATAAGAACTGAGCGCTACAAAAATGAATTTTTTTAAATTTCATAAAATTAAATAAGTTTGTGGAGGGGCAGCAGATGTAAAAAAAAAAAATATTCTTACCAAGATTTTCTAAAATTTAATTCTTGAAGAAGTCCTGGAAATTTTATTAAGATCCGATTATTATTCTTTTTTAAAAAAAAAAATTCCCAAACAATGTTTTTCATTGCAAAAAGACGCTCAAATTTCCTATACTTATTTATGGTCACATTTTGACACAAGAAAAACAACATTTTTAACGAAAATTTCAAAGGGTCTAAAAAGGATAAAAAAATGTCATAATGAAAAAAACAATTTCGTTTATCCTCTTAATAATAACATAAATATTTTGACAATCTTTGCTTTTATTAAGGTTTGGGCATTTTTTTTTCATCATGTATGCTCATTTTAGCGAATCTTATAGGTCTACCATTTTTCCATGTATTGAATATTGTTGGCTGGAACTTCTATTTTATTCTTTGAAAAAAATCAAAAGAAGACTGCATTTTCATTGATCTTGATCTAGCATCTTAGCTTCAGTCATTTTGTCACTGCCGTTAACGTAGCATTCTTGTATCTTTTCTGTATTTCCATGGCAATTGTTCCCTGAACATTCCTCTTTGACATTTCGGCTTCACGAATTTAGACGTCGTACTAGATTGGCAGCTAGGTCACAGGGTTTTATTATTGAAAATTGTATATATAAACGTAAAATGTATTCTAATAGTTTCTTTCATACTACGAGCCTGTGGGACATTCATCTGACTTCCTACTTACTTGTCAACTAAGATCTTCAGAAATTGAAATGCAAATCCACCACTTGTCCGTGCATTGAATGCTGCTGTCATATCTGGTCTGGTGCTCCTGCTATTTAACTCGAGGTTTTTTGACAAAAGAAGGATCTGTAATGTAATCGATCTTGACTTGATATCTCGAATTCAGTCATTTTAGTCCCTTTCTCACTGACGTGGCTTTTCTCTGGCTTCTTCTTTTCATCGCAAATGCTCAAATGAGCTTTTGTTTTTCCTCTGGTGCCCCGACTTCATGAATTTAAGCGTGCTACTAGGTTAACATCAAGGCCCTACACGTTTACTATTGAAATCGTTAAATGCAACCGCTACTTCTACTCCAAAAATTTCTTTTCTTTTTTTGGCGCTTCCCGCCTGTGGAACTCCATTCCATTTACTTGCTTCCCTGAGAACTAGAAATCGTCAAAAATCTAAATGCAATGTCAATCGTCATCTTCTATCTTCTTGAATCCCGTTCATCTTTTGTCCTTTCCTCAATCTTTCCAAATTCAGTCTTTTCTCTCACTGTAACAACCTGTGTACTAATGGCATTCCCACTTTGCTTGGGGTGAAATTATTAAAAAAAAAAAAAACCTCAATCATCATCTTCTGCCTTTTTAATCTTATTCTCAAATAAGTAATTTAGTATAAAATATTTTTATTAAAACAGTTTTTTTAAATGAAATTCGACTTCTCAAGTCCACTAGGTGTTCTAGCTCTTTTGAAAGTAGATCGGAGTTTCCTTCCAAACCTTTTGTTTTAGGTAGTGTGGAAAGTTAACAGTTTATCATTATTTTCTTTTCTTGTTACATATTTTTCTGTTGCTTCTGTTGGAAGTGTTTAATAATGCGATTTTTCTTATTTGATAATGCTCTTCGTTTGTCATTGTAGCGACAGTCTCTGGGGTCTGATGAGGGAGCGTTTTCTTTACGATTTTATTCAGTTGAAAACATTTCAGGGAATCTGTATGCAGATGATAGTTTGACATTTCTGAACGAATTAGACGTCATCAATGGCATCCGTATGACAGTCTATACCAGACGATGTTATTTAAGAATATTGTTCCTCCCAAATAAGATAGGTTTGACTAATGTCCGGTTTACAGTGCTCCCCGGTCTTTTGTTTCCTGTTTAGGATGGCTTCCGGTCCCTTTTAAAGTCTACTTCAGCTCTATCTAACGTCGTTGCATAACACTGAAATTTTATTCGTTAATTAAATCTTGACCTCTTCAAGTCTAGAATTAGCTGTCTAACTTTCTTGTTATCTTGCCCTGACTTATGCTAATACATTTAGCAATAATGACCTTTGAATGTTACAAAAAAACAAATTTCCGTAATCTGACACAGGAAAATATCTCGTCACTGGCATACCACGATGTCCGAAGGAAAAGAAAAAGAGTGAACACGATATTAAATATTAAACAGTTTTCATATAACTATCGTGCATTGACCACCGAAGAAAGCAAATTACTACGTCCATGGTCAATCCAGGCAGAGATCAATTATTTATAATGAGTTTTTCTTTCAGCAAAGGCAAGGTCTTTGTGATACATACATATGAAGAGGCACGGTGGAGTAATGGATAGCGGCTTGAATTGAGAAATCGGAGAATCGAGTTCGAATTCTAATCGAATCCATTACATTCACTTACGTGCTAATACCCTTGGGAAAGGTGTGAATCCTCTTCTTCTCCCTCCAGCTATGGGTAAATAGCAGGGCAGACTGGGTTTTATAGCCTTGGATGGCAACTGGTCTAGGAGAAGGACAACTCCGAATTCAAAACATACGGAGGGTTGATTGGGGGCCTTGATGCACCCGGTCTCTGTATTCGGCCCTTCAAAAAGTGTGGATGGTCCTGCACGAAACCTTCACCACTATAATCAAATCTCATGTTGGTTTCCTCGGAACTGATCTGCTTGACCCTCATACGTCGAATTCGACGGGAGAGTCGACTATAAACACACACACACACACACACACACACATATATATATATATATATATGTGTGTGTATTTGTAAATCAATCTGTCTTTTATACAAGTTTCGTTAAAGGCGTCTGACAAGGTACTGTAATTAAGACTCTTATTTTATTTGCTTTTATTGTTTTTTTTTTTATTTTTAGGAGAATGTGTGTGTATTTTTTTACGTATGTAGCTGGAGTTATAGAAATACGGTCAGCATAATGTGGCCGTATTCGTGGATAATGTTATTGTGTTTGGCCTTTTCATTATTAGGGCTTCCATTATTTTTAATCTCTTTTTTACATGTTGATGAGGCGATTGTACTTGTATAACGT